ATGTTTAAAGTCTTCCGCTGAGAGTCTAGTCAGGCCAAGGGTCGCTTGGGGCCAACAATGGTTCTCGAGTGCCAGTCCCGCCCAGGGTTTAGGCTCGGGGCGTGACATATAAACTCTGGATCATTTAGTAGTTGATTAGAATTATGCAGTTATTAGTAATGTAACAATTAATTATAAGTAAATTTATGTATTATTTTATGCAGGTATTAGCTATACATGTATTAGTTATTCCACATATAAAATAATACATAGATGCTTTCATAACTTATACACGTATTAATTATGCAGATTTCTAAATTGTCAAATAAACGTCGTATAAATTTTATACATGAATAACTTATTTCCTATATGTCTACCAAATGTTGCATAAGTTATAATAAAAATAATAATTGATAACTTGAATCTTATCCGGTACCAAACAACCCCTCAGTGTATTATCAGTTATGACTTATTATGACTAAAATTTATTTACAAAAAAAAAAAATTGGAATTATTATTTTTTGCCATGGCCTTTGTTGGATTGTTGGGCAGTATAAAAATCCCAAACTAGTAAGCTATCCAGCCTGCCCAAATGATGGCTAGATATACATGGATCAATTTGGGCTGTTTAAATTAGCCCATCTAAAATGTTGGTAGATAGAATTGGACAGCTTATATCATATATAGCTCAAATTTATATTTTTTATTTATTTATATAAAGGAGAAAATTTCATTTTTAAATTCGATTTGTATCAGTGATACAACTTTTTGAAATTCACTTTATATTGTAGAAAATATCGTTTTTTTTTTGTTTTCCTTTCTTCACTGTATATATCTTGTTCATGGAGTTTTTGAATTAGCGTTGTTTGAAAATCATATCAAATCATCATAGACCCACGATGAGCATTAAAATTATTTATTTTAAAATGGTATATTTAAATTTATAAACATGGATCAAGTATACACGGATTGAGATGACGATTACATGTTGTTATGTATTCTCCATGTGTATTTATAAATTCAAGTCATTTATTCCTATTTTTTTTAATTTCTACTTTCTCATATAAAAATAATATAAAGTAAGGTTACAAAATTGTTAGTGGTGAAATAGAACATCAAATATGGGATCACATGACATTAAACTAGAGTGAAGAACATGTACGATTCTTTTGTTCTTTATGGGTTACAACTACAATAAATTAAAGGAAAAATTATATAATTTAACAATAGACTTAACTATCATATATATTATTATTATTTTTATTATTTATACTTCAAAATATTACGTATCTTACCACTAATTAAGAGTGTCCTACGTATCTTACACTTAGATACATGTATTTTTGCTACCAGATACACAAAAATAGGGAAAGAGGCGAACGAGATTCGTATGTATTTCAGATACATACAAATCACACTAGATACACTCTAAATACATATAACTGGTCAGTGTATGTAGTGAAATGACTTTTGCATATTCCCCTATGGGAACTTTGGGGGAAAAAATTATTGACAAGACAAGTTATTTTTGGTAATTATTGTAATGACTCAGAATGTCATTTTTAGAAATTTTCGTGAAATTACCATTTCATCCCTTCCAATAGTTTCCCTGAGTCATTCATGATCAGTCGGTGGAGTTGGTTTGAGAATTTTGAACTATTCGTTTAACTTGAGTTAATTAATTGATGGGTAATTGTAGATAATTGACTTAACTGATAGTTAATAGACTAAAGTGATAATTTATTTAATACCCTAAGTTTAATTCATTTATTAAAATAAATAGTAGAATTTGTCACTTTTAATAAATAATTAATTTAGAAAAAAAAAAGATAAAGAAGAGAACCTAAAATTTCCCGTGAGAGGCGACCACCGTGAAAGCAGAAAGGTTCACATTCAGATTGCAGTGATTTGAAACCTCAACGAAAGGGGAAGACTCAAGTCCCGGAGTAATCATTCGATTGTTTGAGGCAAGTGGATTTCTAAACCCTTGTTAAGTGTATGGAATTTGTGTATTTCCTTGTAATATGTGTTTAGGGTAATGAGACTTGGTGATGGGTTGACTTGTCCACATTTATTAATTCTAATGATGAAAAAGGGATAATAAAAGGCAACGTGATCAATTGTTTGTGTGATGTGTTGAGAATTGTTTGAAAGGCTTGTTGAATCATTGTTGATGTTGTATCATGATTGTGTTGTTGTGAATTGTGCAATGTTAT